ATGGATTACGCAATAAATGGATTGCTAAAAAGGTGTAAGAACACCAAGAAATAGTGAGTTGTAGATTAAGGACAAGTAGGAGAGGTGTAGAGTGTAGTGATAGTTAACACATAAAATAATTAAAAAATGTGCAAGTGTGTGTGTGCGCGTGGTGCTGTATGTTTTTCCAAAGCCAAGAATGGAGTCTGAAAAGTTAGTTTCTGGGTACTACGAGTGAATGTGATTTTTAAGATTTTTCATGGTTGTTATTTGAAGGAGGGTAGGTTAGTGGATTGGATGGTTTTAGCTGGAAAACTGACAATTGCTTCAATATCCAAGCTTTGAAAAGTGTCGTATTCTCCAGTTTGTCAAATAGGTTTGTTATTTGCTGGTTTTAGTAGATTGGATATGTGTATATGTTATTACCTTGTCCACTGGTAAATCATACATGATTGACCTGACATTAACTTCTAGTCTCTAGAACTGTTAATTCTGGTTGTTTGACATGACTTCTGCAATTTATCTATTGCTCACTGACCTGACTAGCTCAATATTTTTTCCTTTTACGATCCAAAGTGAAATCACTTCAGAAGGACGACGTATTACGAAGCTTGACCAGATTCTTCTCAATGGGAACAACATCGCAATTGTAAGCCCGTGAAAGGATATTTTTCCAACAAAAAAATAGCATTCATCATTTTTGAATTGCGATACTTGTTACGAGTTCTGAATATCTGTGCACATACAACTTGGCTAGAATCTGAACCTATTTCATAATATCCTTTTGGCAAATTATAAGCTTGGACACTGCAGTTAAAATGCTGAATCTTTGTTTGCACTTGTAACATGATATATTTTTATATCTCCATTGTGCTTCTCTGAAATTTTGTATGTGGTTGCAGTTGGTGCCTGGAGGTTCCCCAGACTCTGAATGAGAATGGTGGCTTCTCCTGATCTTGTACGTGTCTCGAGAGTTTAGGTTGCTAGTTTTTAATGACTGTAGCACATCATGCTCGTAATTTTCTGTCTCTACTTTTATCTCAACGCAACATCAATGTTCTTATGTTGTAAATTGTACTTGAGAAGTTTCACTTAATGATATCGGTGTTGGTTTGTGTTCTTTACCATAATTATCATTCTGTATGTCTCTGTAGAGATTTCATGTTGTAGTTTCTCCCTCATGTGAAAATTTTAATAAGTGTAGTGGTATAAGTGTTCCTTGCAAGTTTATATAGGTCTTTGATTGCTCATTCAAAAGAGTTAAATTCTTATCACAAAAACATTTCCACTTCTATATTTAAGATGGTTAGGTTGTTCAAGCATTGTAACTCATGTCTGATCTCGTTTTTTGCTTAATAATAGAGCGGTGAGTTGCTGGTTTGATAAACGAACAAAAGCCTCGACCTGGACTTTACATCTTTAGCTTGTGAAGGCAATGCTTGGTTTGTTTAATAAACTTAAAATTCTATTCGAGGAGTTTGCGAACACAAAATATTAGATTGCAAACAAGTTTAGTTTGGTTGTACCATTTAAATTCCATACAAAATTAATTTTAAGAAAATTGGTTTGTTTGCAAATAAATTTGGCTCAACTCGTTTAATAAACAAATTTGATTTTGGTTTGTTGTTAAGAAAATAACTAGCTAGCTTAAGATTTTTTTTCTTTTCGAAGATAGAGATTTTATAAAGAGCACAAATGTGCGAAAGAAAGCATCCAATAGCTGAATGATACAATTAAGAGTAGGGGTGTTCAAGGTCTGGTTTTAACCGAAAAACGGTCAATCCGGACCGCGGATCGGTTAAATGGTCGGTTAAAAAAGCCTTAAAAAATTCGATGGTTAATTTTTTTAAAATTCGGAATAATCGGTCCTGTTAACGGATTACCTGCGGCAAATCGCCGGTTTAACCAGACCGGTAAATATTAAAAAATTATAACAAATATGTATACATTCAGTCATTCACTATGACCGACAAATACAATACATTCACTTTCACTTTTTGTTGTTTTGTTGACTTAATTTTGTAAGACACTATAACTTTTTACTTTTTTCCCACCTTCGTTTTTCCATTCTCATATTTTTCCACCTTCATTTTTTCCCATCTTCGTTTTTTTATGCTTATGGGATGAATTGTATATTTTTAATTTCATTATTGTTGTTTTTCTTAATATTTAGGTCCAAATAATCTCTTTTTGGCCCAAAATTGAAAAATAAAAATTAAGCCCAAAATGAAAACAAAAAAAATTAAAAATTGAAAGCCCAAAATAAGGATTTTGGATTTAACCGGTTAACCGCCAAACCGGACCGTCCAATGCGGTCCAGATTGTGGTCGGTTAAAAAATAAAATCGGTCCGGTTATGGACAAGAAAAAAATTAACCATTAGGTCCGGTTTGGTCATGGTTTGGGCTAAAACCCGACCAATCTAGACCGTGAACACCCCTAATTAAGAGCTTAGAGACCGTGCCAGCACGCTAGACCAACACAACAACAACAACAAAAACAACTACAAAGCTCCCAACAAAGGAGAATGATCGATCTCAAAAGGATAATATTCTCAAGTTCACTGAGGCCAACTGCCTAAACTAAAAACACAAATCCTAAACAACAATTGAACAAAATAACACCAACAGAAACTAAACTAACAAAACTAAAACAATCAATAAAGCTCTTCCCTAACAAACTAACCAAGCCCCTCACAAAGTACCAACAGATAAAGGCCGACCATCCCCACAGCTGGACCCGAAGTCCAGTACACCACTTCCGAAACTACCTAAACGCCTAGCTGAAGCCGAGTCCCAGAGCCCGAACCTCTCCTAAGAAGTAGCCGACCCAAAGCCGGACAAACAAAGCCAGACCAGCCCACACACCACCACCCCGAAGCCCCATCACCACTCGCCTAGGTCCAAAGTGTCGGTCTTCCCCGTCCTGCACACCAAAGGAGCGGAGAAATGGGGGAGTCAAGCCTCGCCCCTCAACCCCAACCAAGCTCGCCTTCGACATCAGCGAGCAGCCATGGCCACTCCCTTCCCTCAATCCCACACCACCATCCGACACAACACACATACCAGAGAGGCAGAGAAATTTTTCTGCGAACGACGAGCAGCCAGGGCCACACCATTTGTTCGTATACGAATAATTTAATACGTAAACTTAATAAATATGTTTGATTAACTAAAAATTTGTTCGTTCAAACTCAAAAGTAAAAAAGTAGAACAAACATATTATATTTTAGATTAAAAAATATTATGTAAATATATAAAAAATAAAATAAAACTATATTAAATTAATGTTCACGAACATTATCGAACGTTCGCGAACGAGCTCGTTTTCATTAGATTATTAAACGAGTTTAATTTCTGTTTGAACTCGGTTCGATTAACAACTTTTGTCAAACACGAACGAGCACGAACCGCGAACGAGCTCGAACGAAAGTTCGATTCATTCTCTACTTTTTTGCCCCCAGTTTGAAAACATTGTTTATCCATTTGCATTTTACCTTTCGCCACGCTCCGACTGCGCGGTTCCTCGCCGCCGCAGTTTATATTCCGCAATTATTGATAACTATTTATGCTTTCCAAGAGGCCATAACCCACCTTTCCCAGTTCAAAATCCTCACTATTTCTCACAAACAAAGCTCCACTGATTCTAATCAAACCCTCTGCTTTGCTCCAATAATCCGAAAACCAAGCTAAAAAATTTCTAACAATGGCAAATGATGAACCCTTGATCATCACCGGCAAAGATGAGATGCGACGGTGGTCGAGATCCGCCAGATCCAAAGGCAGAACCATCGGATTAGTCCCCACCATGGGATACCTCCACGACGGCCACTTATCCCTCATTCACGAATCCCAAAAACACGCACATCACACAGTGGTCTCAATCTACGTGAATCCCGGACAATTCTCCCCAAATGAGGATCTGTCGACCTACCCCTCCGATTTTCACGGCGACATTCAGAAGCTGAAGGACGTCGGCGGCGTCGACGTCGTTTTCCACCCGAAGAATCTGTACGATTACGGGGAGGACGGTGGTTTTGGGGAGGGCACGAGGGGAGACGGCGATACGGTGTCGTGCTTGGAGAATGGTGGGGCGGGTCACGAGACGTGGGTCAGGGTCGAGAAATTGGAGGCGGGTTTGTGCGGGAAAAGCCGGCCCGTTTTCTTTAGAGGTGTGGCGACTGTGGTTGCGAAGCTGTTTAATATCGTCGAGCCGGATGTTGCTGTGTTTGGGAAGAAGGATTACCAGCAGTGGAGGATTATACAGAGGATGGTGAGAAAATTTATGTTTGATTTTCTTATGCATTGAGCACTTGAATTTGTATGCCGTGAATATGATGGGTTTTGTGTGTAAAGTTTGGGACTTTTCTTGTGTTTTACTGATTTGTGTCTAACATATGAGGGCCGCCTTTTTGTGTTCGTAAATGGCAATTTTAGGACTGGGAAAAAAAAAAAAACACGGAAAGAACGTAGACTATATGGGGTTTGAATTTCATGCATCGATGGAGAACTTCCACAACATGTGTGCAGAACACAAGTTATTAGCCTAATCAACTTCCAGCTTTTGTGTGTAGACACTGAAAATTTCTCATTCTTGGTTTTTAGTTACTTATGCTTCAATAAATTATGTGTTCGCAATCGCTCGTATTTAACTAGATTAATTAAGCAAATGAGATATTATTTTCAATGTTGCTCTCCCTTTTTTATTTTCGTTTGAGCCGATCTATCCGCAATTTGAGAATCATTGTCAAAGAGGTGCTTCGGTTTTTCTGTTGCGTTTTTCTAAACATTTATGTCTCAGGTCCGAGATCTAGATTTTGGCATAAAAGTGATTGGTTCCGATTTGGTGCGTGATGAAGATGGGCTTGCCAAGAGTTCACGTAATGTGCGACTATCGACCTATGAAAGGGAAAAGGTAGCTTTCCCTGCTGAAAAACCCCAATGTCTTCCTTAGAAATTTTATTCTTTTTATTCAGTTTGATCAGTTCACCTTAATTTAAATTTTGTATTCTCTGTTCGGCAGGCATTGTCAATCAGTAAATCACTATTGAGCGCTAAATTTGCAGCAGAACACAACCAGGTTGATTTCAAAGAGCTGAGAGATTCAGTTGTTCGGGCCATACAGGAAGCTGGTGGAAAGGTTGATTATGCAGAGGTGAGGTTCACATAATAATTACTTTTTCAACAAAATATTATTGAGCTGTCCCATATGATGGGAGAATATGTACTATATGCTTTCTTGTTTTCTTCATAAGTTGTTGTGTTTGCTGATAACGACAAATTATGATATTTGGGTGACTATAAAAATCAAGTCTTTCATGTTTTTCCATATCTTGAATCTTGATTCCGAGCAGATTGTAGACCAGCAGAGTTTGGAAGTCGTGGAAGAGATCAATAGACCGGCTGTGTTTTGTGTTGCTGCCTGGTTTGGAAATGTTAGGCTTATCGATAACATGGAAATCAATCTCTGATGGAAATTTGGCTAAGAAAGGTTAAAACGTTAATTTGAGTTGTCGAGCCTTATGATGAAAGAAGACAGAGATTCATTGTATCTTGTAGCTTTATGTACCAATGTACCTTTGCCATACTTCATCTAAGGGGATGTTTCATGTTTGGTTGAGCTTATTATTAGTGGAGTTCATAATATAATTACCCCAACCAGCTCTTTTGTGGTGTTTTTGGTGAAAATTCTTATCAGCTTGATCACCTGGAGCTTATCAGTTGTATGAAGAAAAAGCTGGTTAGTCTATTAATCAAACACAAATGAAGCTCGTTAAAATTAGAATAATGGGCGTTCGTTTATTAACCGTGCCGATCTTCAACAAGTTAAACTCATTTGATAATCAAACAAATCTAGCTTGTTTGTTAACATTAATTTAATATTTTTTTTTTTATTTCTATGTAAAATATTTTCAGTAAAAGTTATAAAGTACTGATATATATTCACATTTTATATTTCGAACTTGTGTCAATTTCAAACAACCCAAAGTTTATTTAATCAAACAATTTGTAAGCTATAGACCAAACTATTAAAAAAAAAAAAACAGTTCCAATTTCAAACAACCCAAAGTTTATTTAATCAAACAATTTGTAAGCTTTAGACCAAACTATTGAAAAAAACAAGCAAACGAACTCTGACTTTAATGAACAATTAACGGAACAAACACAAATTCGAATTTCTGCCCGAATAACAAACAAATACAAAAAATATTTCAAATGTAATCAACATTACCTCAAATTGTTCGAACTAAACTTCGGTTTGGGTACATTACTACTGTTACCATTACAAATCATCAAATCATGTAACAAACCCATAACATATAACTGCATCAACTCAACACCCAAACTAGGTTTTTTTTTTTATAAATAAAAAAAAAAGGACCAAAAACAGCACACTTTAATATTGCAAAACATATGAAAGTTTTATACTAATATATTTTGAGGTCTCATAATAACTATACAGGGAGTCTCACAAAGGTTTACAGTGAAAGCCAAATCAAGAGAGCAGGAATAAAAAAAATGTCGGAACAAAAGCTACTCATATGTCGAGCAACACATGAGTGGGGTCCCCACTGGAACGGCTATGTCACGAAAAGACACACTTATTAGTGACACTTGAAACCACCACAAACTGATAAAACTATGATGAGGATGAGGGCAATGATAATGCCCAGCACAATCAGTTTTATCTTCATATTCTGCAACCACATCTTTCTCCTCATCTTGGTACCCTGAGTTCTGAAATCTTGCGCCTATGGCAACAAATTTGACAACATATAAAAAAGTCATTTTTATTTACTCATGAGACCACAAGAATTGCAGTAGTAGAAAACTAACGATACAAAATTCAAGCGAATAATTATCCACAATAAGACATTATACTGAAAAGAAACAAAAAGTTGAGCGAATCTAATTCATTTATTCTAACAACTAAGAGCTGCAGAGCTAAATGCCAAGGTCAACCAGTAATGAAATTTACTCGCAGAACCAACACAACTATGTCTGGAAGACCTTCAGAGAGGAATGCTAATTGAGAGCATCAATTAAAATATGCGAGGGCCATGATATCCATGTGGATAAACAACAATTACCAAGAGGTGTACCATAACTTTTTGGCCCCCTGGGATTGTTTTACTTTTCTTCAAGAAATCCAATTGCACTACATCGTAACTGTACGGTTATAATTTTAGCTAAAATAATCCCTACATGTCAATAAAAATCCTGATGTTAACAGACCAATTTAATATCTTAAATATGAACCAATTGCTGACTAATTGCAAGTTTGAAGCATGTAACTTTAACTCTCCATGGATGTCGCACGGTACAGTTTTCAAGAAATGGGATATAGCATAAGCAACATGCAATATACAGACCTGTGAACGAAGATTCTCGGTTTTATCCACCAAAAGCTCAATTTTCTCTCCACGATCAAGGACCTGCAAAGAAAAACTCTTAGTTCTGAAAGATACACCACTTGCATAGTTTCACACTTTAACGACAGGATGGAAATATTTTACCTTTTCAATGTTTTCCATCATCACTCCTTTAACTTCTGAGACCTGAGCTTTCACTTTTGCAAGTTTGCTGACCTCCTCTGGATGATCCACACAGTATTGCATTTGCTCCTTCAACTTAGGCCTATGATAAAGTCGGACATATTATTTGTAAAGGAGAACTATGAATCAGCCCTTAACTGAAAAAAGTGGAGGAAGAGAAGTGTTAGAAGCCAAAGCCACAATTACCCAAATTCTCTATTCAGGCTATTGGCAACAGCTGTAGCCGCCTTTCCACCCGTATACTTCTTGGTGAAATCCTCCTTAATCCGCTCAAGAAATGCAATAGGAATTTGTCTTCCAACAGATTCAACAGCCACGACACAATAAGCTGTCACTCACAAATGTAATTCATTATCCCCCAAAACAAAATTGGTGGAGAGCACAATGTCGATTTAATAGATATTCAGTGCAAGCAAAAAAGAGTCCTTATATCATATAATCCAACACCCACAAGTGAGACCAAATGTGACTGCAGTCAGTACAGTTTTAATCCCATTATTGGCTAATGAAATACTGAATCCAGAAGAATCAGCAACACACATAGGACTACTTAGCATTCATTGTATGTCATGTACCAAAAAGAATACTATCAAGTGGCGAAATTTGAGCAATTGAAACCATTACATCAACCAAAACTATTACCAAAAGAATGATCAGGACCCATCTTCTGTTCATGCACACAACATTATGCAACGAACTTGATAAAAAGCACATGAGTTACAGTTAAATAAAATGCATACAAACTGCAAGAAGTACTGCAAAGGCCTTTGACGTATTAATGCATCAACATCAACATCAACATACCCAGTATATTCCCAACAAGTTGGGGTCTGGGGGGTCAGTTGTACGCAGACCTTACCCTTGTAATTATACAAGGAGGTTGTTTCCATAGCGACCCAAGGTGCGTTGCGTCGTTTGATATATTTTTTTCTAGAAACTTCACTAATAGAAGAAGCACTAGAAGCCATTTTGATCTAGTCCATTATTAGCACTATGCCAGGAG